GTCGACTATTAAATCAGTCGTCGACGATTTTGATAGTCGACGTAATCGTGACTAGTCGACTAATCGTGGCAGCCCTAATACCAACATTGCAAAACCCTCTCATGTGTGAATCGTGCTGTGTTCAGGTACAACCTGCTGTTCTTTCTGTCCGGCGGAGGAAAGTTTAACTACCAGGGCACCAAACGCTGGCTGGAGGACAATTTAGACCACACAGGTATCGTTCAGCAGTCTCACACAAACCCTGGAGCATTCATGCATCCATAATCCACATTTCAACATCAAGTTAATAAAAACATATTTTATAATTATTGAATGTAGTTTGTAGTATTTTTAGTAGTAATGTGTTTAAAAGCTGGTTATATCTGTTGTCTCTTCTTCCCGTCTTCCTTGTCAGACTCCAGTCTGCTGCAGGATAACGTAGCCTTTGTGTTGTGTCTGGATACTTTGGGGAACGGAGACTCTCTGCACCTCCATGTGTCCAAACCCCCCAAAGAGGGAACCCCTCAGTATTCCCTGCTGAAAGAGCTGGAGGCGGTAAGAAGTCACAGACTCGATGATGTCTTGGCGCAGCTTAGACGGATCACAGATTACACCCAAAGCAGAGGTCACATTCTTCTGCGTCTTCCTCCCAGGTGGTTGCGAGTCAGTATCCAGAGGTCAAGTTCTCCATGGTCCACAAGAAAATCAACCTGGCTGACGACATGCTGGCGTGGGAGCACGAACGTTTCGGGATTCGCCGCCTGCCCGCCTTCACTCTGTCCCACCTGCCCTCGCACCGGCTGGCTCAGCGCTCCAGCATCATGGACGTGCGGTCAGTGTCCCCCTCCTCTCGCCACGGAGCGGGAGAGCCCCCTGCTGGGTGGGTTCATTACTGCAAGTCTCTTGAATCACCAAAAAATAGTGTTTCCATTCCAGCTGCCGGTCATGAGCTGTGGTCAGATTCTTGTTTTGTTGATGTTTTTGCTCAGGAACATTGATGCACCGTCTACATAACCTGTATTTCTTTTTTGTTTTTACTCCATTTTCTTTATTTGATGATATTTTCCACCAAGATTCAGGAAAATCTTAGCAAAGGCATCATCTAGATGGTCTTTTTTACTCTGCAGACAGGCAGGACTTTTCCATGCTGTCAATAATGTTTGTGATGTTTAATCTAAAAAGGTTGTAAGGAGTCAGGAGAGTCGTTTCCTCTCCTGTAGCCGTCGATTTGTCTCTGTGAGCGAGCGTCTTCTCAGACTTCCTACGTCTCAGCCTGTCTGTGTGTGAAAACAGACGCTCTGTGATCAGCTCCCCGGTTTCTGCTCTTCGCCTCGGACGACTTCCTGTCGTCTAACTGTCTGCAAACTCGTATTTGTGTCTTACAGGCCTCACGTAGATGTGAAGAAGCTCAGCAGGAACACCAAGCTGGTAGCAGAGGCTCTGGCGAGGGTCGTCTACAACCTTACAGAAAAGGTCTAAACAGCAATTTTTAAAAAGGTTTAAACAGATGAAGTTTGTAGACACTGTAATGCTAACGTGAGCTGTTTGTTTAAACTTAAAGGGAGCACCTGGAGACCTGCAGATTTTCACTGAGCAGATGGTACGTCACCTGTCTGTCCTGTTACATCATCATCCGAGTCGCACGCGTCCCTGGAACCTGATTTTATTCTCCTAAAACATGCACAGTGCAGCAGATAACTTAATTTTTAGTTCTGAATCTGGATTCATTACATCTTCAGTCTCTCAGCGATCACGGGTGTTGAGCTCACGTGTTGGTCTCCCACCAGCAGGTGCAGGACGAGCAGCTGTCAGCCGTGGTGGACTGGCTCACGGCGCAGCCCAGAGCTGCTCAGCTGGTGGACAAAGACAGCACCGTGGTGTCCACCCTGGAGTATCACCTGGGACGCTACCTCAAGGATGTCAAAAGACACTACGTCAAAGCTGACAAGAGGTAAAAAAAAAAAAAGGAAAAAATCCACACCCGCAGCGATGGGATGGAGGTTTATTGACCTGTTTCCTCGTCAGCATGTCAGCTTCTCGTTCTCTCCTCTTCAGGGATCCAGAGTTTGTGTTTTATGACCAGCTGAAGCAGACGATGAATGCTTACAGGTACGGCTTCAGGCAGCTCGTTTTCTCTGCACAGAGCGGCTTTAAGGCTCCTCTGCAGCTCACAGCTGTGATGTCATAATTATTTTGAAACTTTGTTGCATATGAGATCAAATTCATCAATTAAAACATGATGTAGTAACGCTCTCTTCCCCATGTTAAACTTTTCTTTTTTCCTCACTCAGAGTGAAGCCCGCTATCTTTGACCTGCTGCTGGCTGTCTGCATCGCAGCCTACCTGGGGATGGTGTATTTGGCTATCCAGGTAAGTGTCATGTCACTTTA